ATAAAAATCATTCTATAAAATATGTAAACCGCACTGCTGCAACTTAGCGCTGTTTTACATAGTTTTGAAGAGGATATGGTTTTGAAGAGAAACCTTTCCCTTCCCCAATGGTTTACCTTCGGTCAACTTTTTTACTCTTGTAATCGGCTTTAAGTTTACAAAGAAGTGTTCTAACACATTTTCGTACATGTCCAAAAGTGTGTTGGACAAGCCTTTACATAATAAGGTGCAGTGATAACATTAAAAATTTTTTTTTTTTGAAATTAATTTTGCCTGGGTGTGCAAAAGTTGTTTATTCATATCAGAAATACTCTGTAAAAATTGCAATGCTCTGGTAAATTATCTTGAGGTGTCACAAGGACTTTGAAATCCCCCAAGATCCTCAAAAAGTTAGAAATTACAATTATTTTTAAATTCATATTTTCACAAAAAAATCTATGGCTAAAAATAAACTGATCTTGTTTTTCGATTTCTATTATAATAAACCTGTATGATGGTTTTAACATCATATCAGAACCTAATGAAAATATATTTATGTAAATTGTAGAACTTTGAGGTGCCACAAAAATTAAGAATAACAATTATTTCAAACAAAATTAAGTAAGTCTGGTTCAAGTTTATTTTCTGCCAGTTAATCATTTCAAGAACGTCATTTTGAAAGGCTGAAATCAGATTTTGTGTTAAAGACTTTCATAGCTGATCGCGACTCTATTCTTGCACGAATAAAACCATCACGTTGAGGTTCACAGACTGCCATTCTGGCTTCAGTGACTAGCTTCACGCCTCTTTCTACAGACTGAGTGTGGCATGAAAAGCTTTTAAATTGTAGCATTTCTGACGTCAGAATGCTGTTTTTAAGCTGAGTCAATTCAATTGATCTGAACATTAGAGGTTCAGCACTTTTATTTGATGACCAGTTGATTATGTCTGTATAATCTGTTGCTTCAAAATTTGGCGGTGGTATCTTGAACAATCTAACTGTAGGTTTAGCATCGGTCTTGTCGGATATCGATCTTGCAGTCAATACACGTCTTAATGCTAATTGACGAATGTGGGGCCTTCCATTGATAGTAATAAGTTTTCTGGGTAAGCAAAGTATGCATTTCTTTGGATTACAGGATCAACAATTTTCTTGAGCTCGATAGGCAAGTATCTGGTATAATGTACCATTCAAAAGAGATGGCGACTGCCATCCGTACAGGAATGTTTAGAATTCACTTCAAACAAATAGGTGCATATACCTTTTGTGTGTAAGTTACAAGAATGATCAAGTTTTTGTTTGGCTTTTCTGTAGATACATATAACCGGAAGATACGACTAGCAGTTGTTATCCATCGAGAATGACACATGGGTCCCGGTTTTCGATTACCCAATTCAAAACTACATTGGATATTGCTTGACACATTTCATGCAAGTACCTTTGACCTGTACTGAGATTATCTGCATCAATGCTGGACAACACATTTCCTTTGATTGGTTGAAAACTGACAATTGGCAAGTCCATGTTCTTCAATAATTTTCCAATTGGACCACTAAATGAGTTTGGCCCATATGTAGATTCATCCATCAGGTTAATCAGGAGATGTCTCAATGGTAACTCATTCATATGTAATAAACATACAAACCAGTGTAGAGATTTGTTGAAACGAAGCTCGAAAAGTCGATTAACACCACCAATATTACCTGTGTTGACATTTGTGCCATCACATCTGATTGCCACCAATGAACTGGTATCAATAGCATTTGCATTCAAAAATGATATAATGCTAATCTTTATATTTTGTGAAGATCCCTGTGATGTTTTAACATGTCCCAGGTATTCAGAACCAGGCTTCTTTATTAACACAACGTGCTCCTCGGTCTCCAACGCTAGATAATATTTGTTTCCTTTAATGATCAGGCTTCGAGTTTTGTCGTTTCGACCATCGAAATATAACCCTTCCAATGTTTTGGCAGCACCAGCTTGTAAAATTTTCTCTTTTTCTGTCTTTCTCTACAAATTTTACTTGGGTCAATAACATCAGATGAGTCATGTGCATTAATAATGCCATAATCAACCAAAACAGCCGATGCTAATGCTGCAGCTGAGCGATCCGATACTTCCCATCGATCACATTCACAAACTAATGTTGGTAGTGGAGTTTGCATTTAAGAGTTCAAAATTTCTTGTGAGCTTGCATTATTAGTTGATGTTGGTGACTTAGGCGAGTCTGTCATGAAGTCAACATCTTCATTACTATCTCTTTCGGTGATAGCATCATCTAAATCACCTAACGCGACATCATTACAATCATCCTCCAAGCTACAATCTGGATGCGATTTCAAAGTTTCAGCATTTGTAATTGATTCACATTAATAAAATAAAATTCATCTGCAAGTTTTCTTTTCAGTTTCTTTTCCTGCTGTTTTGTTGTTTTAATATCAACATTGCCAATAGCCATTTTCCTTTCTGTTCTTTGATCTGCAAGGAATATTATTTCATTTGGTGGAACTTTACGATTCTTTTCGCAAGCACATGTCGAAAAGTCTTTACATTTACATGAACAATATCAAAAATTCGATTTGAGTCAATTTTGAAGTTTTCAACTTTGTTCAGGTACTGTGACTCCTTGTCCTTGAACCTCTGTTTAAACGGTTTCATAAGTGAGCGATATTTGTCATGGTAATCTCTTATTTTAGTTATTATTTGCTGACGGGATATTGCTGGAATTGATGCTCTGTGTCATATCGTCTCAAGATCAATAAATATCTTCCTGGTTTTTTCATTAATTGTAGCTTCTTTGGCATGGCCATCAGACAATTCTTTTCTTACTGATATAAAATGTTTCATGATATCTGCATACGTTGGCAAAACATTTATGCTCATCCGTGAAATGATGCCAAATACTCGGCATATGTTATCATTGCGAGTGAGTAGTTTCTTCAGTACAGTTTCAATCTTTTGTGCCATGATCTAACCATACAAAGACAGCGCAGCAAAAATAAATGATAATTTTAATAATTATCTGCTAGATTCTGTGTTGTTTGTTTGACGCCGTATTATTTTACATAATAATACATGCACATTCACTCGCCAGATGGCAGTATTATAGCAGCTAATTATATAGCACTTAATAATAATATTATTATATCACCCAGACACACACAAATTTAAATAAAAAGTCTTAGTTTATCTCGGTAGTCCGTGCTCCGTACTCCGTAGTTGGTAGGTCACATTTTGGGGATTTTGTGGTATTTCAAAGACCTTGGGGCACCTCAAGATCATTTCATAGAGCAATGCAATTTTTACAGAGTATTTTAGATATGAATAGACAACTTTTGCACATACAGGCAAAATTAATATTAAACAAAAAAAATTTTTCTAAATTTTTTTCCGTAGGTGACTTTTTGGGGATTTCAAAGTCCTTGGGGCACCTCAAGATAATTTCCTAGAGCATTGCAATTTTTACAGAGAATTTCTGACATGAATAGACAACTTTTGCACGCCCATGCAAAATGAATTTAAAAAAAAAAAAATTTCACTGCACCCTATTACATAATTAAATAAAAATAATTGGTGATGGACCTGGATATGATTTACAAATTTCATCAAAAGATCTTGTATCACCATCTTCAATAAAAAATGTGCATATTAGGCAATGAAGACATACAGATCAAGCAAACATTCTTTTCATTCCAACAACTTCCATATATTCAACACTTTTTTTTGAACATGATTTTTTGAATATACTTTCCAGCTGTTACGGTATAGAAATTTTATAGATTCTATAAAATCTGTTTTAGATTTTTTTTTTTTTAGAAAAAAAAGTTTTATAGCAATTTCTATGGAAATCAATAAACATTCTATAGAAACTCTATAGGCCATAAGTTTCAAAAGTTTAAAGAAATTCTATAGAATTTTTTCCCCTGGGATTTCAGTCTAAAAGACATTTAGTTTTAATAGTCGCGCGAACAATTCGCGTTGAAAGATTTTCGGCCAAAAATTAACTCCGAATAATATATATTATTCGGAGTTAATTTTTCTTTATATAATTAATATTCTAATAATGAATATAATGCAATTTGATTATTTGACACAATATTATGTCAAATAATCAAATTGCATTATATACATTATTAGAATATTATTTATATAAAGAAAATTATTACCTATCGATTTCCTTATTTTAAGGAAAAAATTTTCAAGGAAAGAATTTTTTTTAGAAATTAATTTCATTGTTTCAAAGACACTTTCGTATTGATAAATTTAATTGATTATTTCTAATGTCAAACTTAAATTGATTAAAAATCGATTAAGTTTTATCAATGAGGAACTCTACATTTAATGCAAAACCCAATTGCTATTAATTATAAAGGTAACATTTCAGTCAAATTAATAAAATTCCAATTAAATCCAACTACTCTTACTTTTTTAAAATAATTCAGTGACCAAAAGTATTTCCAATAGTTAATATAAGAAATGAAGCCAATACAATCAGACTAACGATAAGGAGGTCAACAGTTGCTGACTTAAATCATTAAATCAAAAAAACAATAAAAAATCTTTACAATTTTTAAATAACAAAATTAAACAAAAATATAAAAATTAAAAAAAATTTTTTTTTATAATAAATATTTTTTTATTCTTCGAAAATGGTTTTCAAAGGATAAAAAATTACTTCTTTTGCATTTTTACTTTAAAAGCTCTTTTACATTTAAAGCATGTACTTAAAACTTATGAGAAAATATTTTAAAATTCATTTTTTAATTAGAATACACATATTACTTCAGTCATATTTTTTTACGATTAAACTTTTTTTAATCTTTACATTTATTTAAAACAATATGGTAAAAATGTAACGTTTATTATAAAGCTAGAAGACGAAACCATAGAAAAAAACTATCAAAAAAACAGACAATAATGATAAATTATTAAATAATGTTTTATTGAAAAACATTATTTAATAATTTATCATTATTGCCTGCATTATTGCCAAATAATTTTTCATTAAATGCCTGCATTTATTGAATCTAATTTTTTACATGTGAAACATATTGTACAATGAGTATGTATTTACAACATTTTAAGAAACCTAGAGTTTCTCTAAAAATGCCAAAAATATCCATGTTTAAAAGTTTACAAGAAGTCTCAAATATCAAAGTAAGACTGCCGTTTTATTCTGAAGAGTATCCAGTTGATTTTATATTTATATTTGAACAGCATGTGTTGGTATATAGGTGAAAATAACTTGTGTTTGAATAACCATGAAACCAACATCCGTCGATAAGATATTTATTTCTAAAAATGCCACTTTATTCGTAATACCCAAGTATTGTTTCCACGGATTCGAAAAAACAAACCTTGAGCATTTCCTATTTAAATATATAAAAAATTTAATCAAAGTAAATTAATGTTATTTGCCGTAACATAATTTTTTTTTGAGCCAGGTATCTATTAGGCATAAATAGAACTCCATAATTTGTTAATACCGAGGATGCTTTGCGAAAAACCCCATTAACTGAAGTTTATAAAAAACAAAAACTTAAAAAACTTCGCTTCTTTTAAAAATGAAAGCAATGAGTTTTGTTTTCCTTGATCTAAATTTAAATTCTTCAACAGTTTTTACACTCCATATATTTTTTCAATATTCTAATGATTTCTCAACATTATAATTATTCAAAATATCGCTTTTGCATTTACGGTATAGGAAGACACTTAGATAAGAACACACCAATTTAGAATTTGGAGTTAATTTCATGCCTACAATTTACTTAAAAAAGCCTTAAAAACCTGTCTAGGTCCTTGGTTACATGAAAAATAATATAACCAAGGGTAAAACCACAACGTGTGAACCATGTCCAGCTCGCACTAGAGTCAAATTTTTTTTGCTTAACATTGGAGTTATATTGAATATAATTTACTTAATAACCTACCAACAATTTTGTTAGAACAAAATAAAAACCAAAGTTAATGTTTAAAAACATTATATAAAACAAATTTAAAATTAAAACTGTTTTACCTAACCATTGATTTGGTCCTAAAGTGTGAATTTGATTATAATCGCCTTCCAAATTTATTCGCATCGTAGAATCAATGTAACTAGAAGCATTTTTAAACTGATGATTGGTTATTGATAACCATTTGTTATAGCTGTTGTGAAACATCATATATGTTTTTTGATTACGATGAACTGCATAGAGCTCTTTGGTTAACATATGGTGACCAAGAACTGAACCAATCCGCACATCTAGTTCTAGAATACGTATTATTACTTTAGCAATGCAGAAATTATGTCCCAAGAATGTCATAAAAAACTGTTTTAGTCAAAATATAGGGGATTGTAAGAAATCTTTTACTAGGTTGCACTAAAAAGTCGACCCATTATAATTATTAACTAATAAAATTTAAAAAAAACTAATGACAGACTCTTTTTCTACAAGAAATATGTCAGTCTCGAATAAAAGTTTTTGTTTAACTTGCTTATTTTCCTTTTACTATCTGCTTCTTTCATGACCTGATTTATTTATTATCTTAGAAGTGTTCAGTATTAATGTTTTTTAATCTCCATTTAATACCATAAAAATGTTGATTGTAAATTTACACCATATATATAACGACGGGCAACAAAAATATATTTTAAGGAAAGTAAAATTAAGCAGTACTCTAAAATTTTTTTTTAGAAAATCATGTAAAATCAGACTAAAATAAAATTTACATATCAAAGTTAAAATTAAAATTAATGAGATTTTTTTTTCATTTTTTTTTTCTACTTCTTATTTTTAATATCAATAAGAAGAACCTATTGAGTATTGATTTATTTTTTAAAATACATAATATGTATAAAGAAATAATGTTTGCAATGGCTATAAGACTGTTTTTTGTAACTTTGACTATCGTTAAATAAATAAAATTCATACTTCAATATCTATTGTCTCTCATCATTTGAATATAAGTTCAAACCAAACTTTTTTTTATTCAAAATTTTTATTAAAATTTAACTTATATTTAAACTTACCATACCATGAACTTCCTTCATCATTTGAGATGTAGCATGCTACTTTTGAACTAAAGTATTCATTACAAAACTACTTTAAACAATATGCTTATTAACTACAGATTTTGTTAAAAAAGGTCTAATATTCAAATGATCCATTAACAAATATAACAAAAAAATATTATTTTGCGAAGAAAATATTGTGTTTTAGGTTTTATTAACTTTATTTAGTCACTTTATTTGATTTTAGAACAAATCTAAAAACAAATATGGCAAAAGAGTTTAAACAAACCTTGGAAAATGTTGATTCATGCAGACATAAATATTTAAGTTATCTACATCCCAATAAATACCACGACCATAATTTTCTAAATATAAAGTTATAAAAAAAAAGATTTAAAAATGTCATTATTTATTACTTATTTACTTTTTTTTACATAAAATGTTAACAGTAATGTACTTTTTTTCTTACATAAAACACACTATTTATTAAGTTATTTAAATAAAAAACTTTAAATAAAATCAAAACTTACAAATTTAAAAAAAGCAGGAGTTAAAACTTTATTTTTACCTTTAAGAACTAGCCAACTTGCAACAATAGGAATTTTTGGATATGCAAAACATTCAACCACCTTTCTGAATGCTTTATATAATGTTGTGCTTCTCCCAGATTCCACTTGAGCTTTCATTTTTAAAGGAATGTCAAATGTAAAAACACCAGACTTCGGACATTGTGTATCATTAAAAGTAGCAGTAAAAGTGAAATTAAACGATTCAGAAGAATTTGTTATTCCGTTAAACTAAACAGACAGTATTAAATAATTTAAAAGAGTTGCTCAAATTAACTGAACAATAATTTATCAAACTATCCAGGTCATGTCAAAAAAAAAATTTTACAACGAGATTAAAAATTTCTAAAAAATTGAGTGATTTATTTTTATCTTCAAGTTCGACTGTATATTTAAGGCTGATACTTTGTTGGTTAAGAATATCGAATAATTTGTTAGAACTAATTTAAAAGCAATATTAACAAGTAAAAATAAATCTGTACTGCCACGCTTCAGCAAACCAGGTTTTATAAACTAACTTGTAGTTGCTGTAAATCTTATGTAGGTGAAACTGGCCCACACAATTTTTACATTACCAAAAGTCGATTTATGATGGAAATGGGAATAATTCTGGTATATCAAACCATAAAAAATTTTGTCAGAGACTTTTACTGGGCTGATGCCAAAGTTTTAGCATTAAGTTCTTACAAGTTTGAACGAAAAATTAGGGAAGTCTTGGAGATCACTTAAATTTTTAGATATTATTATTACCAAGATTATAATCTATAGGATTACAAAACTGGACTGATACCAAAGTTTTAGCATTGAGTTTTTATAAATTGGAAAGAAAAATAAGGGAAACTTTGAAGATACAGAACCCACATACTAGCCCTTGCAAACCAATGGGAATGAATTTAGATAATGGTCAATATTTAAACACAGGTTTTTGGATACCAATTAAATATCCTGAAAAAATTCGGAATAAATATTCCTTTATTTTTCTCTTAATTTTTCTTTAAGCAGAGTTGTTTCCAATTTTTTTTTCAAACTTTTCTTAATTTTTGTATTAGTAAAAAAGTTTAAAAAATAAATTTATTACAAAAATATATATCTAAACTTGTATGTATGGAAAACGTTTTGGGTATCCACATAAACTATAAGTTGAGGTAAATATCAGGAATTCTGGAAATATGCAGAAAAAGATAATCCCAACATATTAAGGTCGAAGTGGTTTTAGTCAGTTTATTAACAAACCTGTTGAACTAACAACTACATCTTAAAAAAGTTCTCCTTTTTATGGTCAAAAGACTTTATGTTTTTTTTTAAATGTTAAAACTAATGCAGATTACTTAACCAATCAAACCAATAGAACTCGAAGTAATGGAGGCCAAACTGTTTCAATTAGTTAACAAAAACACTCATCAACCAAAGCTTTTTTATATTGTGTGTTGTTTTATGGTGTTATGTATGTGTTGATCTAAAATACAAATGACTGTGTCAATAATAAGATGCAGAAAGGCTAATACTTTGTTAAACAATTTCATTGCATTAGAGATACATATAAATATTTGTTAAAATTCACCCATAAATATGCAACACATCACATGCCACCATAAACATTCACTGCACATTTTGGTGAAACTTGATTTTGATTAAATGAAAAAATACCGCAGACATCAAATCCTGAGTTAATATTTGTTTCTAACATTTTAAACTAAAGTAATTGGATATAGATTCATCTTCTATTGGAAAGCAACATTGTATTGTTTTTGGAGTGCTACAAATACACTTTGATCATAAGTTAAAGCCAACATGGTGTGTGCGCTGGAAGTTCAGCTATGATAATGTTGTTCTCGATTGATGACCCAATCAATTCTATGTTATTATGAAGTCCATGTTCATCCAAAATTAAAACTTGAGTTTGATCAGGTCTTTTATTTAGCAGAAAAGATTTGGAATACATAAGTAATGCAATACCCTGTTTAGTCCACCCAAAATAGGAAACACTTCATGTACAACATTAGATGTTGGATTTTATTTTTCACAATAATATAAGGAGGTGATTGACTGACTGAGGCACTAAGTGTTGCAATAATGGTTTGTAAATATCAAAAACTCAACTAGCAGCAATCTTGTCTAGTGTATGGTACAATTGCAAACCAGTTTCATCCATATTCTTTACACAGTGGGGTTTGCAACTAAGGCCCACTCCGCCCCTTTCTTAACTGAATCAAAATAAAAGAAAATTTTACCCTTGTCTAAGTACTGATTGCATATAGCAGCTGTACACTAAGAAAATTTTAGTCAAAGAGTTGAATGTCTTTTTTTCAATAGAGACCATTTTTTAAAGGAAGACCATTTTTGAATGGCTTTATTGCCATATCCCAAGTATATTCCATAAAAAGGCATCTTTTAAAACCAATACACATCAATACTGAACTACTTTGGACTTGTCTTCAATTCCATACATACTAAATACTTTGGGCTCGTTTTCAATTCCATACATACTAAACTACTTTGGGCTCGTCTTCAATTTCATACATACTAAATTACTTTGGGCTCGTCTTCAATTCCAGGTTTTGCAGACTGTTCTGGGCGTGCAACTATCTGAGTTTTTACATTGAGATGATTTTGAAAAGTGCATTAAGGAACCTTATAAGTTTTGGATGCTGTCATTTTTTATGCTTCAACTGATGTAACTGCTTCCCCTATTTGGCTTTCCAACCATTTAAAAACTTAAACAAACTTTTACAGGTTAAGGTTAGATTTTTTTTGTTTGAGTTTTTTATTTGTGTATATTTTTTTATTTAAATCTCTAACTAAAAAATATATATTTCTAAAACCAATAATAATTTTGAAATAACAAATTTGAAAGATAAAATTTTTGCCATAAATAAATTAATTTTAAATATTCAAAAAAAAAAAAAAAATATATATATATATATATATATATATATATATATATATATATATTTACTTGCTATATTTAACCTGTGATTTTAATATTTTAATATTCTTACTTTTACTACAATAAATTATTGCTTGAAGTTTAGGATAACTAGTATGATTTTTATAAAATTAGAAAATACAGTAAGACCGTTTTTCAAATTATTGGTTTTCACGATGAGAATATCTGCTATACTTTATCCAAATTAACCCAATTTCTGCCAAACTTTTTTAAAATTTACCCAATTTTTAAACTCAAATAAAATAATTATCTTACATAACAGATTGATGGTCAACCTCTTTATTCCATTTTCATTATAAAAAACATGAAGTGTTGCTCTTTCAATATCTAAGGCAATAAATTTCTTTGAAAAATGGCTCAGAGTTATTCATTTTATCCTAATATCAAATTTTTTATTACAAATCTGAAAAAAAGTTTTTTTTTTGAAGTACAATTTTACTTTAAGTACTACATTTTTATTAAAGATTATTTGTTTTTGTTGAAAATCATTTAAATTAAGCTAAAATTAAAAATAGACATAAAACTGATTTTTTTTACTTTGTATTAACGATTATAAAAAAGCACTTATTTTTTTATTGATTATTACACATTTAATAAAATAGACCGTGATTTGTTATTATTTTTTGTTTATAGGAAGACAATTTCAGAAATAAAATTTGATTATTTCTGAAATTGTCTTCTGGATCTGGATTTTAAAAGATGAAATAATTGCTGCTTTTAACATTTGGATGTCATTTAGTATCCTACAATAAAATCTTACAATAACAAATAATAATAACTACTTAGTCTTACATTGTACTTTAATCTATTAGCATTAGTCTTGACAAAACTTTGAACAACATTTTCTGCTGTGAAACTAAAATAGGGGGTTAACACATACTCAAACTCTACATTAGCATTCAATGAGGTTTCAAATGTTGGGTAAATCTGTAAGTTCATTGTTAGAAGATATCTACAAAAAAAGTCTAATCAAAAAGCTAATACAATATTTTATACTTAAACGCACACATAATAAAAAAACTTTATACTTTATAAAGTAATTCCTTGCTTTATAATGTAAAATAGTTAATAAATATTTTTCATTTTTAATAAAAATATTTCAAAGTTGATAAATATATTGTAAAGTTTTTCAATACATTGAAACTATATTCAATTGTTATTACAGAGAACATACACGAAAAAAGATGAAACTATTTTATTTAATATAAAAAACATTTTTGATTTATTTTTATATAACTTAAAGAAACAAAATATATATTTGTTTTAAACCTTCGCATAATGCTTTTCATTGATAAAAATAAAAAAACGTAATTAATTAATTTAATAAACAAATTCTTAAAATTAAAATTAATTAGTAATGCTCTTGATGGAAAAGTAGATGACTGTATTACCTAATAGTTTAAGATTTCTCTAACTGTTGTTGATGTTGTGGAAAAAAAACAAACATTATAAAAGTTTTAAAATAAAAACCTTGCAGAAATTCTCTTGTTATAAATGACACTGAAGATAAAGTACAATTTAGATATTGTGTTTTGTAAAACAGATAGCCCTTAAACTAAATAAATTTATTACTATTCATTTTATATGATAACAGCTTTTGATATGCTAAAAGTGTAGAGGTGCCTTATAAAGGTTTTAGAAGAATCCACAACATTCTAATGCAAGTACACTATCTAAAACTCTAGGAGGCTCCGGAAATGTCAAGAAATTCCATATTGCCTACAAAGTCATAGTGCTACTATACTTAGATTTTTATAATGTCATGTAGGTTCTTTTAAAAATTGCTGTATTTCTTCTCAACAAAGTCTAAAGTTGTAAATATAGTAACTACCTTTTTGCCAAGTTTAAACAAGTATGTTGTACGGTTGCATCTCTTTTTTATAAACATTTGCATGGTCGCTACTCAAATGAGCTATTATCTCTAGTTCCATTAATCAAAAGTTATTTTTGCATTTGAGAAAATAGTGGTTGTTAGCAGCCTTTTTGGAAGCAAATTAGTTTAAAATTTTTTTCAAAAATACAATGATACATACCCTTGAAGAGTGACAGTATTTAATACTTTCCACAATGTTTTGTTTACATCTAAAATAATTTTTAAAAAATTACTTAAAAATAAAGCACATAAAAACATATAAATTGGAATTAATGGTTTTAAATTATGATTCAATTTATTGTTTTAATTAAACTAAAATCAAGAATAAAATTAACAATAAAAATATGAAAATCAATAACAAAAAATAACAATAAAAGAAATATAAAAAAAAAGTAATGGAAGTATAAAAGTTAAAAGTGAAACTTAATATGCTTGGAAATCAAAATATTTAAAATGTTATAAAAATGTTTTACTAAAATGTGATCAAATGTTAAAAAATGTTAACTAATGTTAAAAACAGATGATTTAGAAAAAGTTAAAAAATTATTTAATGAAAATTGGAAGCTTTAGTTAAATATCAAAAATAAAATATTGTTAAAACTTTTAAGTTTTCTACACCAAATGACACTTTCTAGTTTATTTATGTTTGTTTTGTAACAATTAAACCTCATATACACAAACATTAAACATTATTTACTAATAAAACTATTAATGAACATCATAAAGTACTTTTAATATTTCTTCTTTAATGTCAGATTTTATTTAAAGATGTATTTATCTAATTAAAATGTTATTCAAACAAATATGTTCAGTTACTCAGCCTAAGCTGATGAATACTTAGTACATCCACTCATGTGATGCAGCTTATGTCTTTTGTGAATGATTATGCAACTCTTGCTAAAATCTTCATATCTAAATCTGAGCCTAAAACTCCAAAACTTTGTTGAATGGTTTCAAGACTACCACGTAGTAAAAACCCTGTGTTCGAGTAATCAAGTATTAAACTTAAAAAAAACCCCGTGAATAAAACTTCTTTAAAATAATATATATTTCATATTTTACCTTCTAAAAATTTTATCTGATAAACTTGCTTACAGCAAGATGCTCCATTTTTGATATTTGAGAAAATATGACCAAAAGCTTCAATAATACCTTTCTCCAATATCCACTTCTTTTATCTTTAATCCAAACCTGGGCTCTAATCCTTGCTTTTAAATAGTTCAGAACATGGTTCTACATACATATTCACACTAAAACTACCATTTTATCATTTTATCAGACTCAGCATATCACTATTTTACCTGATGCAACTATGACTGACTGATAATCATTCATTGATTTTTATCATTATAATCCTTAGGTCTTCTATTTACAAATACTATTTATTTATGTCTCTCTTTGATTTAGACTAGCATAGAAGCTTTTATAACTTATCATTGATTATTTGTAAAGCATCACTCAATCACACTGGGTGTACACAAATTGAGGTGTGTTATTTATTTTCGATAAGATTTAAAATATAATGAAGCTACAATAAAAAAAAAAAAATAAATAAACAAATGTGCTAAACACTTACTAAATTATGATACAACTAAAGCGTAAAATGCTCTTAAAGCTACTTTCGCTATAAAAAATAACCAAAGGTAATATTTGTCTGACCAGATTATTTTGTGTCAACATTATTGTAAAACATAATAAAACCTTTTTTCATAAAATGTCAATTTTGTAAAGTGATAAATTTGTTAAATTTGTTTCTATTGATAATTTTTAAACAAATATTTTTGAATATCTTTGCATTTATTTAAGTATTTATAAATTATTTATTTTAACATAAGTAGAAATTTATTTATTTTAAACACATATTTTTTAAAAGATTATTAGAATAAATAAAAAAACAACTTTATTACCTGTATATGTGTTATTTAAATAACAGTCTATTATTTCAGTATTGTTGCCTGAACACAAAACAACAGCATTTGATATATTGCACTCCCTAGATCTGGTCTGAATACCATAGCCATAAGAAGCACTACAATTTGACCAATTTGACCATGATGTCCATGATGCTAAAAAATCCAATCAAAGTATATATTAAGAATAATTATAAATTTATATATATATATACATACATGCAAGTCAAGCTATTTGTCAGTCGATGTAGCAGCACTCCGTTGCAAGTCAGGTTATTTGTCAGTCAATGTAGCAACATTCTGCACGTGTTTTGAAAATATATTTTAATAAAACAATAACAAACATGTTTTGAAAATATATTTTAATAAAACAATAACAAACAAAAAAACATATACATTTTAATAAAACAAATATAAAAACACTATTAATTATAAAAAATTTTTTAGTCATTATTACAGTTTTTTAAAAAACAATAAAACTTGATGTACTTCCGCATTAATTTAATTGCTTTGACATTTTGACAACAATAAATTGTAGCTTAATTGTTGCGGTAGCAAAAGTGTAGTCGAAAAAGACTTTTTTTACATTAAAAGGCTCTTTAGACTACGAGATAAGGATATATATATATATATATATATATATATATATATATATATATATATATATATATATATATATATATATATATATATATATATATATATATATATATATATATATATTATACATATAATATATATGCAAGAATTAAGAAAAGCTACACTAAATTATGAAAAAAACCTAGTGGTACTGGCTGAGAAAATTAAAAGTCAAATTACAATTATATGAAAATCCAACAACAGATCAATAATTCAATTAATGCATTAAATAATGAAAATGGAATAGTGACAATTGACCTAAATAGCAAGTTTACTAAATAACAAGTTGCAAGATTTATTTGTTAGAGAGAATGATTTTAATTTGCTAGCATTTACGTCTAGAATCAAAAAATATTTGAATTTTGATATAATCTTATATAGTGATTTCGCCGGTTATCCGGTTTTGCGGTTAACCGGATTTTGTTCGAATACCAAATATCTATTTTCGAATAATAAAAACCGACTTAAAAATTTTACGAAATTTTATAGAAAGTAACATTGTAATTATGACGATTATTGTTTGACAAATGTTAACTTATCAAAGATCATAATATATTTCTTATATGTCCGCATAACAATAAGTTTTTAAAATACACGCTGTTTTGTAACAAAATGTTTTTATATGAGAGAATGATTTTAAAACATTCGCTGATATTAAAACATTTAAACTATACTTGTATTCCTACCTTTTTTAATTATATAATTAAAAAGGTATATTATATTATAATATAAAAAATATATATATCTTTTTCCATGTTTTGTTATAAATATATAATATAGGACTGTATTCACTGTCTTGAAAATTTACACTTTAACATTAATTTAAAAAAAATTAGTTTAAAACGCTACGTTCGTTGAAATTTAGAAGAATGTATTCAGAAAGCGTCACTAATTTACCGAATAGTCGGTTAACCGCAATTGATGAAAACTGTTATCCAGTTTTTGAAACGGATAACCGACGAAATCACTAATCTTATACAAAGAGCTGCAAAATGTAAATCGGATCTCAAGCTGCTCTATTCGCATATTAACAAGAAAAAATAAACCAGAGAACGCCTTCATGCTCTTGTTGACCATACTGGAAATTTAACCACGAATCGAATAGAAATGTCAAATATTTTAAATAAACAGTTTTTTTTTGTGTTTTCAAAAGTTTTTATCAATGTTGTACCATCTTTTGACCACATACCACTACTTACGCAAATATTAACGAATACATCTTTTCAATCGCATCAATAGAAAATCAATTAAAAGCACTTAACAAATTTAAACCTGCAGGGATAGATAATTTTCATCCCCATATGCTAAATGAAATGCACTCTTCAATTGCAACTCCAATTTCAAGCATTTTTTGCAAATCTTTTTGCTCAAGTTCAGTTCCAAATAGCTGGAAGTTAGCTAATATTACACCTATCTACAAAAAAGGTCAAAAAACTAACTCTGAAGTAACTTCGTTATCTCAATTACATCTATTCTATGCAAAATGATGGAACGACTTGTTAGAGATGCAATGCTTAAACATTTACTTTCAAAAAACCTTGACACAAACTAACATGGCTTTACAACTGGTATATCTTGTTTAACCAATTTATTGGAATCATTTGATTTAATTACCCATGCTATGGAATCACATTATGATGTTGTTGTAGTTTTGCTTGACTTTGCCAAAGCGTTTGATAAAGTTAGTCACTCGCTACTTCTTAAAAAAATTCGCGCGTATGTTTTTGACAAATATATCTGCCAGTGGATAAATACATTCCTATCCAATCGAAAACAACGAGTTATTATAGAAAATTCAGAATCCGACTGGTTGAACATCCTCAGTGGTGTACCTCAGGGTTCATGTATTGGACCATTACTATTTCTCATTTTTATTAATGATATGCCTCGTCTACTCAATCACCAATGCAAACTTTATGCTGACGACACCAAAATTATTATAATTATAAGAGAACGCTCTGATCTGCAGCAATTACAAATCGACATTGATAGAGTAGTTGACTGGGCTGATACTTGGTCAATGAGCTTTAATCTAGAAAAATGCAGTTATATGATTTTTAACAAGCATCATCGCACACAACAATTAAACAACAAAACTTTTGTTGATGATAAATTTAATGATCCCTGCTTCCAATTAACAATGACTGACAAAACTGGCTTTTCTCACATTCTTAAAGAGATCATCTCTGAACGTGATCTTGGTGTTGTTGCTCACAATTGGTTTTCATGGAACAATCAAGTAGCAAAAGTTATTTCAAATTTATTTACAGTTCTTGGAATTCTTAGCCGCACTTTCAAACATTAGACTCTTGAAATGTTTTGCGTTCTTTACTGTTTTTATGTAAGGCCTAATCTGGAGTATTGCTAATCAGCATAGGGACTCTTTTCAATTGAAAATATAAAAGCTCTTGAAGCTGTTCAAAATCGAGCCACAAAACTTGTCCCAAATCTGCGAACCATGAAAGCCAAGAAACGCTGCTCAGCTATCCAAGTACTTAAAAATCAGGTATCCAAGTACTTAAAAATCGAAAGCGATGAAGTGATCTTATACAATACTTTAAGATTTACCACCGCATAAGCAAAGTTAAATGGATCAAATCACCATCTCCTGCTCGTGCACTTGCGCAATCTGGACCAGCCAATGATCTTCTGGGTTTTCCTCATCGCATTTGGGCACCAAGAATTATTGAATGTGTAGCTCGCAAAACTTTTTTATGTGTGGCAGTTGATTGGAATGCGCTCCCACCAGATATCATTATCTTCGATATAAATGTACCAGATATTGTCAACATTAATACCTTCAAAAAAAAGCTTGACAGATTTTTTGACTCACTTCTAACAAAACAAACAGTATGATTGGTACTTCTGTTTCTCGTTTGGGAATGTTATCAACTCAATGTACCAATAATTTTATTTCTTTTTTATTGTTGTTTGGTAATCCTCTATAATGGATCTACCATAGCAGGGATTGGTTGCTTTCCAAGCCTCACGGATTTTTTCGTTGTAGATTAAATTAAAAATAAAAAAATAAATAAAAATAGTTACATTTATTTAACTTATGTAGACCTTATATGAAATATTTACAAACTTATGTTAACCTTAAATGTCAATCTTTAAAATGATAATTTTGTGACAAATTTGTTTCTATTGATGATTTCTGAATAAATATTTTTGAACATCTTTGCATCTATTTAAGTAATTATAAATCATTTATTTTAACATAAGTAGAAATTTATTTAAACACATATTTTTTAAAAGATTATTAGAATAAATAAAAAAAACAACTTTATTACCTGTATATGTGTTAGTTAAATAACAGCCTATTATTTCAATATTGTTGCCTGAACACAAACCAACAGCATTTGATATATTGCACTCCCTAGATCTGGTCTGAATACCATAGCCATAAGAAGCGCTACAATTTGACCAATTGGACCATGATGTCCATGATGCTAAAAAATACAATCAAAATATATATTTGGAATAAATATAAATTTCTTTCACACATAGATGAATCAATAATTCAATTAATGCATTACAAAATGAAAATGGAAGAGCAACAACTGACCCAAATCAGATAGTAAGTTTACTAAATAAAACGTTGCAAGATGTATTTGTTAGAGAGAATGATTTTAACTTGCCAGCATTTACGTCTAGAATCGATAAAAATTAATATTTTTATATGATCTCATACAAAAATATTATTATTAGATTAGAACGTTTAAATACTGAGAAGTTGTGTGAAGAGATCCATATTTTTGAAAAGTATGTTTGTACATAAGTTGAAAAAAAAGTTGATTCACTCTTAGCGAAAAAAAATTGATTCACTTTTCTATTGTTAGCCTAGAAACTCTCTTTTTACCCTTTTTATAATTATACAAATTTCTTTATATTACCCCATTAGAAAGAAGAAACCTAATTAGTAATTAATCAATAGTATAAGTTAAATAATTTTTAAGTTTATACAAGTTTTTTATATTTTTGTTTTTACTGAATAACTTTATCTTTTAATTTATTATTTTATTAATATTTTGTACAAGTTTCAAATAACCAAGTAGTAGCTTTTACAAATTATTAAAACTTACCTTCTTTTTTACTAGTAATATATATATTTCTAATAAATCCTGATGCACAAGAGTAAGGACAAACTGTTACATCCACAGAAGGGTACACTCTTGGTCGTGAATTATTTGTAGAAAATACAACCGCTCCATTTACAGAAACAGTTGAGTTATATGTATTAGTGTTTATGAAATGCTGTGAAACGTTGATTAAATTCCATGAAAATGGTTTTATATTTATATTTTGACTATAAACTTGCCCGAACGAACGTAAAATAACCAGCATTGCACTATTATTAAAATTGTGTTCTAACATTACAATGTTATCTTGATAATTATATAAATATAGAAAAGTTCCAAAAAGTTTTTGAGTAAATAACACTTCAAATGATACAACAAATTCTCCGTATAAAAAACTTAAAGTTGCAAAATTAATGTAATTGATCATTGGTATTTCTATTTGTAGTAACATTGTGTCTAAAGAAAAAAGAAAGTTATTTGATTTTTCAAACATGAATGTTTGACAAACATTATTTTCTGACAAATTGTTTTATATTATTAAATATACATTACCTCTTGAAAAAATCCTACAAAAAATTTCAAAAAAACTTGTTTTGGGAAAAATTGTTTTACAAAAATTAATCTCATAATTCTTAATCATAATGCCTAAAATTGAAACCAAACTCACTAAAAATAAAAAATACTTATAGTAGACCAAGCTTGTTATTAAGCAAACAATTTCATTTTTTTTTTTGACTTGAACAAGCAACAAATTGTGATTTTTAAACTTTTTTAACTATTCATTATTTGTTTGTTTTTAATTGTCTGAACTTTGGTTTGTTTAATTTTTTATGTTGTATATGTATGATTTTTCAGCTTTTATGTTTTTTTGCTTAACTGCTAGATGCCTTATTAGTTGGTGCTTTATAGTTAGGTACTTTATTGCTAGGTGCTTTATAGTTAGGTGCTTTATAGCTAGGTGCTTTATAGTAAGGTGTTTTATTGCTAAGTGCTTTATTTGTAGATGCTTTTGTTTAAGCATTTAAAAGATTTCAAGATAGCTTTTGCTATCTTGAAATCTTTTCATTATTGAAGGAATGAGTGAAGAAGCTAAGGAAGCTTAAAAGGTTTGTATCTAAAACATAATGATAGATATCTTAATATTTTTGTGCTATGCAATAGTTAGTAAAGGAGTTTGAAACTGGAATTTGTTTTTTTAGTTGCTGATTTGCTAAGATTTAAGTGGCATTAAAGCTTTATTTTGCTACTTGCTATATATAATATGTATGTATATATAGCGGTAAGATAAAAGAAGTAATTAATTTTCAAAAATGCCACATTAACTTTTGAATGTTGATTGTGTAAAAACATTTGTTACAAAAGTTTGAATGATAATTATCTTAGATATAAGCGCTATTTACCAATGAAAAATACTCTAATAAAATTAAAAATTTGTTTTTATTTTGTTTTTAATTTATTTTAATATTTTTTTTTTTTTTTTGCTTGAAAAACGCTAACACTTGAAGCTTGAAGAAAAGACATTAACACTGACAATAACACTTTTATTATAAAAAGTTTTTACATATAATATAAATAAAAAAATTTATTATAAATATTATAAATAACACAAAATACTTTTATTAACACTGACAATAACACTTTTATTATAAATAATTTTTACATATAATATAAATAAAAAAATTTATTTACATACATATTATATATAGCAAGCTACTTGCTATATATAATATGTATAGATGTATATTTGTTCATTTAATCTTATTATAAGAATTATATATTATTTAAATCTTTTTATTTTTAGAAATTAAAAAAAGAATACTTATATAGATTTGATTATTATTTATTTGTTTGTTTTTCTCTTTAGTAGCTAATAATGACGATGAAGTGCTGCAAAATAAAGAAATGAACATTAGTCTAATGACTAATGTTCATTTCTTTATTTTGCAGCACTTCATATAGTAGATACATACAAAATATATTTAAATCTTTATCATTTAAATAAAAATGTTTTTGCCACCACAAAAAGTAATTTTATTATTTAAAAAGTAATGAAAAGAAGTAAATAATGCAATTTTTTGATGAAATGAAAATAAAAGTTTTTAAATTTATTCCAGTTTTGCTTTTTAGTGTGATTTAAACGTTTTTAAAGCGATTTAAAGCAACATATTATATACTCTTTCTGACCATTCAAGAGCAAATATATTCATACATAATTTTCTTACTATTTACCTGAACTTATTACCTGTGTATATTTGCTTAACTAAGCACTCATTTATTTGAGAACTGATGCCCAAACACAAATCAATATCACTTGTTGAATTGCATACTCTAGTTCTATTATGGAATCCAACTCCATAAGAAGTATTACAAATTGACCAAATGCTCCACTGTGTCCAGCCTAAAAATACTAGAAACTCAAAGTATAAGTTTGTAAATGTTATTGTTTGATACTTTGTTTTTAACATTTTTAATTAAGCTTTGTTGTTTTTAAATACAAGAAATTTCTTTCAAATTCATCATTAGATAAATTTTTCATAATTTTATTTTTATTTTTTAAAGACTATAATAAGCAATTCTATGTGAAAACAAAATAGGGTATGCAATCATAAGCCACAAAGCTTGCTGATTTTTACACAACTAAATGATTTTAATAAACTATAAACATACCCACAATTTTATCATGTAATTTTTTGCTTCTGGCGCTGCAAGGGCTGAGGGGGCCATGGTCTTTATAGTTTTATAGCAATCAATTGAAAATGTTTAAAATTTATTTTGATTTATTTGAAGTATTACAAATATTGATTGCTTGTTTTTTAAAAATAATGAGTGTTTGAGTAACATTTGGCTATTTTAAAGACAATCCAATAAAACTATTAAGTCATACCTCCAGGAATCAAAGATAAAACACCTGCGCATTGAGAAATCTCTGACCAATGATTCAAAGGGAAACCTCTCTAATACAAACCTGGAACCAGTTCTGTGTAATTCTAATAAGGTTGTTTGAAATGGTGTTAAAAATGAAGAAAATGAGAGTGTTATACAGTTAGGAGGGAGGAAAAATACTAAAAGTCTATGAGATGTGTAGGCGTATATGGCAAAGATATAACAGTTTAAGTAGCTTGCCATATAGTTTAGTTGGAAGAAGTCACTGCCTGATGAACCATGAAAATTACTATTTGTTTGTATGCAATTACTTACAAAAACACAATTAAAGATACAGCTGTTTTACTAAAACTTGATTAGTAAAGACTTTTCTTTACTAATCAGTTGTCTTTGTAAAAAACAAAGTAAATAAAAAAGAAACTAAGGCTCTAAAACATTTTTCATCATTCCCGAAAGATTATGTTAGACAAACATTTTTTGATTTCATTAAAGACATTTTGATAGCATTAAAAAATAGGTTTAAACAACCAACATAATAAACCTTTCCAAACTTAAAAGATCTTTTCTTTTTTCTAAAGTTATTAGAGATATTGTTTCTGAAAGTGGTATATCAGTTGTAAAAGAGATGTACAACGATGACACAGATATTGATTCTCTAAAAACAAAGCTTTTAATACTCAAACATTTTCAAACCATATGCTACCATCTGTTTGAGAGTTATTTGATAGTGATTTTATGTTATTATAATTTATAAATATAATAACACTTCAAACTTT